GAGTGTGCTCAAATTGATTTGTGTTATGGCTGGACTGGAAAATCTAGTGTTAGTTGTTTTTTGCCCTGGGGCATTGTTTGTACCAAACTCTACTTTTCATTTAATTTTCCAATACATTTTGAAAGATTGAAATGCTTGTGATCAACATTTGATCCACTTGCATTATTTAAAAAAATTCTGAAAGTAATTTCAGATTCAAAAACAAAAAAACAACCCTTGCCTTCAATTAGAGTAAACATAATTAGAGTGACGTCGTGCTCAGAATGGTAAATCTCCCTTTGAATCCATGAAGCATGTTATCTCCTTGTCCTGTCACTGAAAAATTCAGTATATATCTGGAGTACACATCTGTATTTTTTACTGTGCATGTTTCTAATATGACTTGGGAAAAATTAAGGAAAGAGTATTGCCATGAATCTTTTCTAGTTGCCTTCTGTGCATATGTTTGAATTATTTGTTTCATTTATAGATGTCATAAGAGGAGGATTCTCAAAGCTTTCAAGAAAATTTGAGACATTAAGGGAATGTATATATATATATATATATATATATATATATCCTTTAAGGTGTTCACACACTTGAGATCTTTTAAAATATCTTATAAAATATACATTTTCACTTAGAAAATAAGTACAGCAATTGCTGTATTGAAACTCTGAACATTTAAGAACTTGACTTATCCTGGCTTTGTCAATATTGGTATCTTTCTTACAATCTTCTGCCTTGCAGGCATTTACCAGAATTATAATTCAGCATGAATAAACCTAAAAAAAAGAACTATTGATTAGAGAGAAAGCTTTGTGAAATAATTTAGTCAGTTTCCCCACTTGAGAAATCAGTGACTAAAATAGGTCAATAGATAAGGATGTTGTAGTTGTAATACAGTGCTGTGCCTCTCTGGGTTAGAAAAAGGGTCAAAAATAAATCCTCCTACAATTCATGTTTTTACACTCATAATATAAAAATGATACTTACCCAATACCAACCACAAATCCACCTTTCTACAGATCCGTTCTCTCTTTGTTAAACCACAGGTTTAGAAAGTCTTTTATGTGTCCTTGTTTCATTTCCTTGTCACTGCCCCTTTTAACCAAATAGGATGCCTTCCTCATCCGCTAAAGTGCCTGTTGTCACCAGGTATTCACCCGGACTTTAGCTGCAACAGCTACTTTGCATTTTCTTACCACCTCCTACAACCTTACAGCTCTTCCCAAAACTGCATCTTATATTGCATTGAACTCATTATCCTGATTATCCCGATTTCTGTTAAGCAATAGATGATGAGACCTGAGACCACTCTCCCTATTAGTTCCCATTCTTTCCCTTTCTTACGATCTCTTCTCCTCAGGGGGGAAAGGAAAGGGAGGGGTGGGGAGGGGCCAGAAGGGGGCAGAAGGAGGGAAGAAAATACCTTCCTTGAACTGGTACAAGCTAAGCATCAAACGATATCCTAGGAAAGAAATTAAAGACTTCTTAATTAGTGCAGCAATTAAGCTTTCTTGGTAGCATTTTAATCAGCACAGGCCCTATCAAAGGACAAACAGAGCGATTTGCAGGTCTTTGAATTTTAAACAGTCTTATTGATTTCAGCACAATGCGTCTTCACGAAACACAAGGAGAATTTTCTAATATCAGTTACAGTACTTTGAGTTTTGCTTATGCAAATTGGGTGAAGGTTGGGGGCAGTGGAGATAGAGGGAGAGGACCTGGAACAACCAGAGATGCAAAACAATAAACAAACAAGACAAAAGCTCAGAAAGCTACAGATGCCAGGGAATGAGAAGTTGAAATCTCTCTCAAGTTAATCTGTGTGCTTTTGTTAAACACAGTTTGTCTCCATCAATCAGAATATTTTGAAGAAGAAAAAAGAAAGATAAAAAAAGAGAAACTGCTTTAAAATTTCAAGGTTTTCCTTTTGTACGTATAGTCATTTCTTTATACGCCTTGTCTGATCCTACCCTTTGATCAAAGGAGTAAAGTGGTAGTTGCTTTAGAGACCTGATGTCCATTCAGGTTGGGGTAAACGTCTCCCAGTTCTGACGGTGAGTGGAGCACGTGCTCTGAGGGTGCAGGTTTTCCTGCGAAGCAGGGTTGGAATTATGGCTTAGTCTGCTAACCTTGCTTCCTGTCTGTGGCCTCAGAGAGTGGCAGGTAATGGATGAGCCAGAGTTTAGGGAAATATGAGGAATGAGAAAGGTGAGGGTAGACTTTTGAAATTTAATTCTTATCTTTTCCTCTTTGTGGGAGTAAGATTTTAAATGATGACCTATAGCTTTAGCATTTAAAAACCACATCCGTGTTGGTTAAAGTTAAAAAAAGCACAGTTCTAAAGTTAGTTTTTTATAAAAATTAGTTTTTCAGAGCTGAATATCTCCTCTTCATTTTTTCTCTGCTTTAACACACTAGTTTGACATTTTAAAAATGGCAGTGTTTTCCAATACATACATAAACATGTTAAAATGTGTGTCTATACAGTAAAAAAGTATTTTCAAATCTCCACCCTTGATTAAGGCCAGATTTGAATCCTGAAAATTAATTAAAATATTCTGAATATATGAAAATGCAATAGCCAGCTAGGCCAAGCAGCTGTGTTTGTAGAAGTTTATCTACTTTTCTGCATCAATTTTCTTAATTTTCTTTGGACCCAGGAAAGCCTCCTGGATCAAACTGCTGTGGCCCCCAAAGTTTAGCATAAATATAGACTAATTAATGAGTCAGTAGCCTAACATATCTCTGTAGACCATTCCTGTTCCCTTTGACACTAAACTGTGAAGAGTCTAAAGGACTAAAAACAACAGTGAAAACCGAAAATTTCAAAGGCAAAATGGCAGAAATTTCATTATGAAATCTACCAAAACTGTGAACTAATGCTTTATTTTTAAAATCTGTCAAATGCCAGGGCATTGTTTCATATCTTGTGAAATCACTGAACGAGCGCAGACAGGTTCAAAGCCTAACTATTTAAGATTCCTAGAGATATAAGCACCAAGCAGATGTGACCCAGGTCTAGATCATAAACTGTTAAAAAAAAATCCTTGAATAAATACTTCCATGCAACAAGTTAGGAAAGGGAGGGAAAGAAGGACCAGAGGAGTCAGTCTCAACACTGCTTTATGTTGCTTAGAAGCATAGCTACCCTTTCTGCTTTCACAAGACAACCGGCGAGCTTAATTCTCATTATTTACAAAACCCATTTTCATTAACACACTGACAAGGACTTTTCCAAACTATAGTGGTACTTTTCAAAAATGGCAAAACAACAACAACAACAACAATGATTGTGTTCCTTAAATGGCACTAACAAGGAGACTCTCAGGTTCTAAAGGATGCAAGGCTTGGTTACTGTGCCAGACAGGTGAATTAATTAGAGTTTGGGGTTAGAAACAACCGTGTGGTTTGGCTTCCCACTTTGTAAATCTTCAGGGGCTCCGGATCTCTTTAAATTCTCTACATACAGCAGACATTTCTAACCTACCTTTGGGGGCGAAAGTGAAGTTATTTAAACGATCCTTCTCATGGCAAGCATTTATTTCCGCAGCCTATTTATTAGGAAACAAGAGTTTTCTACACAAAGCATTCCATTATTCCTGCGCGACGTCGAACTGACTTTCTCCCCAAACTTGAACACCATGCGGACGGACAATCTCACTGTCGTTCTATAAATACATACTTTTTCACAGACAGAAAACAACCCGAGGCATGAAGACATTACGTTTTGCTGACAAACATGAATTCTGCTCAAAATAACTTCTCAAGCATCACCAAGTGGGAATATCTCCCCACTTCACCCCTCCACCCCCACTCCACCCCCCCCCGTCTATCTGATTGAAAAAAAAACAACTCGCGGAGATCAATCCTTGAAGGAGAAAGAATTCAGAGCGCTCTCTCCATTGGCAAGGCGATCGCTTAGAAGCTTTTGGAGAGGATTTGAAACAAAACAAAAACAAAACAAAACAATGCGAGTCGTCGGAAGAAGCGGAGTGTTAGGCATGCAATCTAACGGTAGTAAGAGAAGTGGGTGATCATCTCTTTTTCCGATCGCCTCTTCTTGGTCCTGGCTTTTTTGGGGGGGGTGGTCCCCCCTCCCCTCCTCCCTTCCTCTGCTCCTAAAACGCTCCCTCTCCCTCTCTCCCTCCCTCTCTCTCTCTCTCTTCGTGTCTCCCCCCCCCCCCGCTTTCTCTCAGTCTCGCTGTGACTCTCGAGTCTCAGCTCCGAGTTCCTGGTTGGATAATTTGGGTTAATACTAGTGAGTGAGGTTTTTGCGGCTTCAAAGGGTATTTCAAGTTTCCGGAGCTCCTCCCCTCTGCACCCTGTGACAACAACAACTCGTCCAGCCGGCAGCCAGCACTTTTCAGCTCATTTTCTCTCTGTCATTCCCCGCTCAATCTTTGATCAATGTACTTGCCAGGGAGCACCCAAGTCCCTCGATCCTCCACCTCCACCTCCTCCTCCTCCTCCTTTTCACCTTCATCTTTAACTTTGTGCTAGAGCCGGGACCCACACCACCACAGCCGACCCTCCCCGCCCCCGCCACCCCCCTCCCTCCCTACCTCTCCCCTCCTCCCCAAACCAGCCCTGGATCTCAGCCCCCCGGAGAGGACTCGCATTTCGACTTGCGGGACACTTTTGTGCGTTTCTCTCCAGAGCGCTTTTCGCGCTCGCCCCTCGGGCGCTCGCTCGCCGCTCCTCTCGCTCGCTCGCTCTCTCCTTCTTTCCGGCCCTCACCTTCCCCCCTTCCCCACACACCGTGCCCCCTTCTCTCCTTTTCTCCTCCTCATCCTCTGAGAGTTGTGATTGTTCCCCCCCCCTTCCCTCCCTCCCTAGCTCGCGCTGCTCTCTCGCTCCTTCTCCCCCTGGCCCTTCCCGGGTGAGTGTGTTCGGTGTTGGGTGCGTGTGTGCGTGTGTGTGTGTGTGTGCGCGCGCGCGTGTGTCCGTGTGGCAACTTTTTCTCCCCCCCCCCCTCGCTTCTCTCCTCCTTCTGTTTCCCCTTCTATGTGACCATGGCAGTGCCGGCGGCTTTGATCCCTCCGACCCAGCTGGTCCCCCCTCAACCCCCGATCTCCACGTCTGCTTCTTCCTCGGGCACCACCACCTCCACCTCCTCTGCGACCTCGTCTCCGGCTCCGTCCATCGGGCCCCAGGCGCCTTCTGGGCCAACTCTGTTCCGGCCGGAGCCCATCGCGGCGGCGGCGGCGGCCACAGTCACCTCTCCGGGCGGCGGCGGCGGCGGCGGCGGCCACGGCGAGTATCTGCAGCAGCAGCAGCAGCAGCAGCAGCAGCAGCAGCAGCAGCAGTAGCAGCAGCAGTAGCAGTAGCAGCAGCAGTAGCAGCAGCAGCAGCAGTAGCAGCAGCAGTAGCAGCAGCAGCAGCAGTAGCAGCAGCAGCAGCAGCAGCAGCTGCGGCCCCCTCCCCGGAAAGCCCGTGTACTCAACCCCGTCCCCAGTGGAAAACACCCCCCAGAATAATGAGTGCAAAATGGTGGATCTGAGGGGGGCCAAAGTGGCTTCCTTCACGGTGGAAGGCTGCGAGCTGATCTGCCTGCCCCAGGCTTTCGACCTGTTCCTGAAGCACTTGGTGGGGGGCTTGCACACGGTCTACACCAAGCTGAAGCGGTTGGAGATCACGCCGGTGGTGTGCAATGTGGAACAGGTTCGCATCCTGAGGGGACTGGGCGCCATCCAGCCCGGAGTCAACCGCTGCAAACTCATCTCCAGGAAGGACTTCGAGACCCTCTACAATGACTGCACCAACGCCAGGTAAAAGAGCTCCCCCCAGCCCCCCGCTCTCCGGGACCCCCGTCT